TTAAGTCTTTTCTTTTTTAAACTGAAGTATACTGGTATGTCCAACTACATAGTTGCTATATACCATTACTAGTATGGCTTGTCCTTCCATCAGTTTAATATGCATTAGGAAAGCATGCATGTTCTCACTCTGAGGTCCCCAGATTCTACACAGATGTGCCTCCTTCATGTTTTTTATGAACAAATAGTTCCCTTCCATTGCTATATTCCAATCTTGAACTTTTTTGATACCCATGAAATCACTTTTAAAATTCTTATATTGTCCTGCCCATTAATTAATTCCATCTGCACATTTTTTTTATAGCCTACTAAAAGCCAGACACTATTTCAAGTGCTGAGGATATACTACTAGATAAAGTAAACAAGATTCTGCCTTTAAAAATTTTTATACTGATTGGGGAGGAGTCCTTTTTCTTAAATGCTATCATTTAAAGCAAAATGAAGAACTTATGATGCCTGTATAACTCCTCTAAATTCCTAATCATTTTTTTTGTTGGAAGATTGTGGGAGAAAATCAAAGAACAGAAGGAAGAGAGCAGTGTTTTTTGTTGTTTTTATACACATTGGTTTATATAAATAATTGGTTTGTCTATACAAACATTTTATATCCGCCAAATCATATTTGGTAAAAATTATTAATTGCTTTATGAGACTAGCACTCTGTTACAAATCTTCCTTTCAATGTATCCATTAGGTTTGCATATCCATAATGGTTCTTATTGGGCTGTCTCTGTTAAATCATGCAAAGGCTCAAATTGCCTCCTGCCTGCTGGAGGCAAATCTGGCTGGTAGTTGTTAGGAAGTAGGAAATAGTGGATGCATGGTTGGGGGCTAGACTGTAGTCCCTGTGTGCTTTCTAGAGGCTTTGGATTCTAACTGTCTGGTTGTGTTCAAATTCTGGCTCTGTCATTTAGTGGTTTTATGAGAATGGGCAAATTAACTTATGTCTCAGTTTTCTTATAATATGAGGAAGATAATTTCACCTACTACATTAGATGGGTAGGACTAAATTGGAGTATTGTAAAACATTGTATA